CATGTTAAATTGGGCCTTGGTTGTAAGCCCAATTGTTTAAGTTAGCTTGTACCCTAAGTTGGCTTGTAATGGGTAATTGTTAAAAAGCTCATTAGGTTAGTGTGTTATTTTTCTTATAAATAGGATACTAGTTTCTCAATCTTGGAATAAGGAAAAATAGGAAGATAAAATCCTAATTTAAGGGAGAGAGGTTATTTTATTATTCTTGTATACTTGTAATCTTGTTCTAAGAGAAAGGAAATAATAGCAGTTTAATAACCAATCCTTGTTGTTCCTTGTTGTTTTACCTTGTTTTCTTTGTTAACCCTAACCCTTGTGAGTTTCTTGATCATTAAGAAATTGTTTATACTTTGTTTAATGGTATCCGATTCACAACAGGGTTTATACTTTGTTTAATAGTCAATGAAGGTAGCTTTATGATGTTTGATAAGGTGAGTTGAGAAGTTTATTTAATTTAGGTAATATTGTATGGATGTGCGAAGGTTTGGGTTGTGTGAATGGTGTTCCGCGGTTGTGTATGGGATAATGGTTGTTTTGGCACTGTAATACGAATGGAGAAGGAAGGTAGTTGTTTTTGTCAAGGATCCTGAAGATGAAAAACAAAAGGATCTTTTATGAAACACGTTTTCCCTAGAAGGTTTGCCCAATCCTCCCTTCAAGAAAACATCACAGTTTATTAAACTTTTTTTAAAACTTATTTGTTGTATTGTAAGGTCTCTTTATTGCAGATTGTTGTTTCAATGCAAGTCGAGTTTTTTTGTGGCAGGTTGAGGCACAAGTAACATAACTGGTATGGAAAGTCCTTTTCACTGTTTCGTATTTGTGTTGCAGGTCTCCTTCAAATTCAGAGCAGGTTTTGGGGTTTTGTTATTTTGGTCAAAGTAGCAGAATTTGATTTGTTTTGTTGTGTTGTTGATAAGTCGAGGCGTGGGATGGAAGGTTACAGGATATGTCAACGTGTGCAGAGTTTGGTGATGGAGAGTTTGTACGGTTCCTGCAGATATCATGCGTGTAGTTTGACTTGGTTAAACATGTAACTTCTTCTTCTTGCTACTTCACTTGGCAATTTCTGACCTTAAAATGAGTTTGGGCCTGAATTGCAATAACTTTGATGGGCTTTGTTCTTTTACATAGACTTGGTGTAAAAAAAATGGACTTTATGATTTTTTGGTATAAATTGTAATGGAGTTTGTAAAAAAAATGAAACTAAATTAAATAAAACATTAAATTAATTAACAGAATTAAACATTAATCATAAATTAAAATCTAATTAAATCTAATTGAATAAAAATGATTAAATAACTAAACAAGAAAATAAATAACTAAATTAAAATCTTATAATTTAATGAAATAAATTAATATGAATTATCTAAAATAAAAAATTAAATAAATATAAAGATAATTAAAACCAACTAAAACCTAATTAATTTAAACTAATTAATTCTAGATCATTTAACTCAGAAAGAAATAAATAAATAAATAAATAAATAAATAAAACAAAATAAAACCAAATCTTAATTGCAAAATAAATAAAAGGAAATAAAGTAAACAAATTAGAATTAAATATAAACTAATAAAAGACTATTTAAAAATAACTCACAAATGAAATGAATAAAAAAAGCGAATAAAAGGTCAAGTGCCAAACGTAAAACGAATGCACTAAAGTTATCAGCGCCGGGATGAACCACTTGGAAGAAAGCAACATTTCGTCCGATTTCGAAATAAATCTTATCCGTTGAAACGGTTGAAACTGTCTAAAACTCGACCGATTCGGGTGTAATTCCAATAAGTTCATTCTGGCTGATAACATGGGTGGTATGCGAGAAATGATCGACCTAGATAATATGCAGAAGATCAAAGAATCTGAGGATAAATTTTGGGGCATGACAGATCTCATACCTCATTTAGATTCATATTGTGCATAATTCTCATGCAATCATTTATTATTACATCTTACTAACATTTTTTTTCTCTATTTTGAGGTGTGGATTGAAGTACTTTTGGTACATATTTTTGACGTTGAAAAGTTGTGTAATAAGTGTAAATTGTCACTTTATTTTTCACTTTAATTCCTCCCTTTGAATATTGTATTAGAATAGAAATCATCCCCCCAATGTGGGGTCCTTATGGTTCCCCCTTCCCATAGACATGTAATAATGTAGACTTACCGCTTTAATTATTGTATGCTTGTATGCTTGACATGACAAAGAAAAATAAATCAAAACATGATAAAATGGAAGGACTTAAAAGATTAAAACAAAGGACTAAGGACTCTCTTGATTGGCCCAAGCTTTGGATAAGAGTTGTATGATTGACCTAAGTAAAGGACTAAGAACTATCTTGATTGACCTAAGCATTGGATGAGACTTGAATGATTGACCCAAGTATGAGGAGTGCAATTACTTACAAAGTCCCTTATATTTTTCATGTACACCTTTCCCTTTTAATGTACTTTTACTTCCTTGATTCTCTTTCGATTTGATCTTGCATGCTAACTAAAAGATAAAAACAATAGAAAATGATTTCAAAACCAAGACAACATAAAGCTTGATTCAATGTCAAACCATTTTCAAAATCATTAAGTGAAGTTCACCACACCTTAGGGTTCAATCCTTCACACCGTAAGTCGATTGCTTAGGCATCGCCATCAATCTCCATCAACTCCACATTCCAAACAATCATCGTCATTCTTTCGTCTCACACCTCTCACCTTTCAATCCCTTACTTGGTCCAATGCCAAGTCTTCCTAAACCATTTTCTTAATAAACTCAAATATACAATAAGATACAATTAGGATTGCGCGCCATGAGCCTTAAGTGGTGGAGAGGAGTGAAAATAGAGCTTTCCTGCCCTCACTCCGAGTATTTTGATACAAGACGCTTGGCTTAATAGTCTAAACTATTAACCTTTACCCATATTATTTAGTGCAATCTTAATCAAGAACAATCTTTCTTTCAAAACCCTAAAAACAACATCAACTCATCAAACTATTTTGCGCCTTGGGGAATCACTTTGAAAACCATTTTTCAAGGTAAAATCAACCAACAAACACTTATTTTCTACTCCGAACTACATAAGCTTTGATTCCTCATTCAACAATGAGGATACATAGGCACGATGGTCACAATCCTTGGCGAGCACACTAATTTAAAACTTATTTTTTTCTTTAACAAGTAACCCTTAGATAAACGACACCCATTCGCGCATAGACGACCTAGATGGTTCTCGTTGAGTACAACGGATGTGAGGGATGCTAATAACTTTCCCTTGCATAATCGACTTTTGAACCCGAATTTAGTTGCGAGACCATATTCTTCACCTTTTAGGGGGTTTTATCGATATTTTCTCTTTTTTCGAAATAAATAAAATTTGGTGGCGACTCTGTGCATTTTTCGCGCAGCGACACCCAAACACCTTAGGAAAATCCTGGCAAACGAATGCGTCGGGGTGTGGAATCGGTGCAGATTACGATCGAGCGGATCATTAAATTTCTCTCCAATCGTTGTGTAATTCTATTTGTGGAATAATATTATAATTTATTTTTTATTAAACATTTTTTTACAATTATTTTGTTGTTACAATAATTAAAAAAAATACAAAACAACACAAGAGCCATAAGCAATGATGTATCTGTTAAGTATTAACAAGTGTGAGTAGTGTGAATAATAGTTTCACATTGGATAAGAATGTGGTGACTTGAGCATTTATAAGTGGGAGAACACACACACAGCTATCACCTTAAGGTTTTGGGAGAATATGTGGTGTCTCTCTCACTTGTGTTGCTCTTGACCCAATGTTCAATACTTCCTAGTGAAAAACTTCCTCTCTAGACACACAACTATTCAAATCTATACATCCAAAAAACTACAATTGTTGTGGTAAATAAAATCAAACTAACTCTCCTTATTTATAATAAATTTTTACTCTTCTTCACATACTCGATGTGGAACTTAGATGACTTCCACTTTAAAACAACAACATCCTCCTAAAACTTTCATGCATGCGCCATAGTCATTCGTTACACACAAAGACATTATTGCCATAGGCTAAAAAATGAGTATATGCATCACAAACAGCGGTGCATCCTCTTAAGATGATTTTTTATTTGAAGAATGGTCACTTTGATATATATATTTTTTAAATATAGTTATTTAAATATTTTTTAAAAAAGTGATTATTTAAAAAAAAAAATCAATTTTTAATCCACTGTATACCAACTCGCATAGCCGAGAAAAATGAAGGTGTCACTTATTCCACTTTCTAGTCTCATTGGTATACATGAGTTCGATGATCCATTTACGAATAATCTTATGTAAATCACAAATCATTGCTTAATTTTTATAAGAGGGAAATGATTTGATTAGAAGACTTGATCCTATGTGCTAAGTTATGGATCCCTATGTTTACTTTGAAAATATTGTGCTTTTATTTTTAAAAAAATTTGTCCATAAAAAAAGTGTCATTTTGAAAATAAATAATAAGAAAATTGAAGATATTCGTTTATGTAAATTACACAAACATTCAATACATGACTTGCATTTCACCAAAGAATTGAAATATATTTAAACTAATTTGACTTAAGAATACTTGGATGAAAGGATCTCTTCCAACTTACCTAACAATTCTGAGTTCAATATTAAAAAAAAAAAAGAACAATTATTTATTTCAAGAATTTAGTATCTCCCCTTGTTAATATATTAATAAACAGATATTTTAAGAAATAAAAATGTAAAATACTTATGCTCCTTTATGATGAAGTGCTTGACTACTATTTAGGGGAAAAAACACTACAGCTCACGGTGCATGGGACCTATTTAACCTACTTTCCTAGATACGTGCACATGCTTAGAATCATACGTAATTATAAGTTTCTTTTATAAAAGAAAAGTTTAATATAATAAATGTTTTCAAGAAATTAAATTAAATATTTTTGTTCAACCCTTATAAAAGGGCACTATAACCACAATCTAAACCAAGTCCTTCTTTACTTGCAAGTTCCAATGGCTTCCAAACTTGCATTCCTATTTGTTTTCATAATGTTGTTTGCTTTAACTTCAGCAAATCCAAGCAAGTTGAGAAAGCCATACACACCATGCAAAAACCTAGTCCTGTATTTTCATGACATACTCTACAACGGAATGAATGCAGCAAATGCAACATCAGCCATAGTAGCAGCTCCACAAGGTGCTAATTTAACAAAACTAGCACCTCAATTCAACTTTGGTAACATAGTAGTTTTCGACGACCCTATCACTTTGGATAACAACCTTCATTCAACACCAGTTGGAAGAGCACAAGGGTTTTACATTTATGATACCAAAAACACATACACTTCATGGCTTAGTTTCACATTTGCTCTTAATACCACTTACCATCAAGGAACCATTACTTTTGCTGGTGCTGACCCAATTATGGCCAAAACTAGAGATATCTCTGTCACTGGTGGTACTGGTGATTTCTTTATGCATAGAGGAATTGCTACTATTATGACTGATGCTTTTGAAGGTGAAGTTTATTTTCGACTTCGTGTTGATATTAAGTTCTTTGAGTGCTGGTAATTATAAAATAGAAGCAAAATATTTGAAGTTAAGTTGTTGTGCCTTTTGAGTTTAACTTAATCAAGTTGATCTGGATTGGATATATGTAATTTCTTTTATGTGTGTTTTTTCATTAGCCCATAAAAAGTATCACCTTTCTACTTCTTTTTCTCCTTTATGATTATGATGAATGATTACGATTCTATCAACTACTCTCTCCAAATGCATTAGTCATAATAGTAAAAATTTAAAGTTGATATCTCTTTGAGTGTTAAAAAGAGATAAATATAGTCAAAGTTTATTGGAAAATTGTGTGTTAAACACATGTTAAAAATTTATCTGAGATATCTACTTTTCTGGTTTATTATATATAGAAGAGTTTTTTTTTACTAGAGTTTTGTCCCGCCAATGGTCAATAGTGGAGATTGATTTTTATGCCAAGGGAACTATGTGTTCTCTTTTATTGACATGAGGTTTTTCGAACTATTTCGCATAAGCTTTAACTATTCTTGTCATGTAGTTAATGTTTGCTTCAAATGTTGTTTGGTTGATAAAAGGTAGAGGTGGTAATTGAATCCATTAAGGCAAAATCTATCTAATTCATCCATTAAAAAATTCATCCAATCCATGCACCACACAAAAAATAAGTTAATGGATTGGATTAAATCCATCCATTTATATGCATGGATGGATTCAATCCATCCAACATATTTTAAGGATTCAATAGATTATTTTTATTTTCGTTAGATTTATTTTTTTAAAATAGTATTTTTTTTAAAATAATTAAAAAACTATTTTTTTTTTCAAAAAAATGAATTTTTTTCTGAATAAAAAAAGTTTAATTATTTTTTGAAAAAAAATCTTTTTTTTCGAAAAAACGGTTTTTTTTTCCGAAAAAATCGTTTTTTTTTAGAATAAAAAACTGATATGTTTTTCGAAAAAAAAACCGACTTTTTTTTTGGAAAAAAAAAGATTTTTTTCCGAAAAAAATCGACTTTTTTTTGGAAAAAAAATTGATTTTTTTTTCTGAAAAAAATCAGTTTTTTTTTCAGCATAAAAAACTGATTTGTTTTTCGAAAAAAAAGTAAATTTTTTTCTCGAAAAAAAACCGACCTTTTTTTTGGAAAAAAAATTGTTTTTTTTTTCAGAATAAAAAACTGATTTGATTTTCGAAAAAAAATAAAATTGTTTCTCGAAAAAAACCGTTTTTTTTTTGAAAAAAAAATCGATTTTTTTTCTGAAAAAGATCAGTTTTTTTTCAGAATAAAAAAGTCATTTGTTTTTCGAAAAAAACAAATTTTTTTTCTCGAAAAAAAAACGACTTTTTTTTTTGGCAAAAATCGGTTTTTTTTTTTTCAGAATAAAAAACTTATTTGTTTTTCGAAAAAAAAATCGACTTTTTTAAAAAAAAAAATTGATATTTTTCAAAAATTAAAATATCAATTTTTTTTTTGAAAATACAAAAAATTCATATTTTTTAATTAATATATTAAAAAATAATTTTTTTAAAATATAAAAAATGAATTTTTCAAAAATAAAATAAAATCAATTTTTTAAAAATAAAAAAATATATTTATTTTTATGAAATAAAAAAAAGGTTGGGTGGATGGATATCCATCCATTAAAAATATGTTAATGGATGGATTGGATGGATTTTATTCTTAATGGATGAATTGGATTGGATAATTTTAAGAAAATTTTAGTGGATTGTTAATGAACTAATGGATTGTTTTAATCCATCCGTTAACAATCAAATCCATATCCATCCAATCTATCCATTTTGCCACCCCTATAAATTATATTGTAATACTAATAATGTATATCAATTACAGTATTATTATTGTAAAAAAATTATCTATAATATATCTATATTATAAATATTAAAACATAGTCCAAGTTAATTTCTTGACATATCATTATTTGTATCATATATCTAGTCTTATTTTTATCTATATATATATATATATATATATATATATATATATATATATATATATATATATATATATATATATATATATATATATATATATATATATATATATATATATATATATATATATATATATATATATATATATATATATATATATATATATATATATATATATATATATATATATATATATATATATCTTTCCCTTTATTTCTATCCAATATATTCCCTCTCTTAAACATCTATAAATCCATTTAAACAATCATCTAATTATTCCAATAATTAGAATAATCCAAATAAATCAATTAATTAACACAAATAATTAATTATTGAAAATTGGGCTGTTACAACTCTCCCCCACTTTAGGAATTTTCGTCCTCGAAAATGTTACCTCAATGAACCGAGTCGGATACGACTTCCTCATCCCAATCTCTCAAATCCCACTTTCTCTAGTTGGTTCACCCAACTGTCTTTACCGAAGAAACCTTCATTACCTCGAAGTTACTTCTTGCTCATCAATCTGAACTAGCAATGTCTCAACAGTCAAATCCTTCCTCACTTGTACACCATTTGCCTAAATGAATGCAATTGCACTTCCTCATTAGGCACATACCACATCATGTAAATTCACAAGCGACAGCGATAAGATAATTTAACATGATACTTCTCCATGCTTCCGCTGCGCCACTCTGATACTAAGCAATAAAAACGGTGTGTGCTTCCGAGACTTCAAAGCTCGATCAACACCTGTCACCACTGAAACTCTCAGAACACGTCCTTTCTTGGATCTTCTTGATCTTTTCAGTCGTCTCTTGCACAATCCCAAGTCCGAGTACAACACTCTTGCCAGACACATATCAACACAAAGGAGTCTCACACCTCCTTCTTATCCATCTTGATCCAACACACGAGCTCTCAACAAATCCTCTACCTACTGGATAGCTCCTTTTGTCTGCCCATCCGTTCAAGGATGCTAGACAAAGTTCAACTTCAACATGGCACCCAAAACGTCCGCAAACTCTTCCAAAATCTCAATAAAAACACAGGTTCCCATATGAAACGATATTAGACGGTATCACATACTACTCAGAATTACCCGACAGTTGCATCAGGCCAATAGTCTCTGATGTTCACACTTCGACTTTGAACAAGTCTAATCAGCATATACAACCGCAACCACTTCTCTCTCCATCCGTGGCCACCAAAACAATTCTTTCAAGGTACTCTCATCCAATCCACATTATTCAGACACATAGACTCTATCACAACATCTCGTGTCACCATTTCCATAAATCCTAAAATCAGCCCTTCGACTTCAATCCATTAAACTCAATCAATCTATTAACTCTAATTAGAATTCCAACCTTCTCGAATCCCATCGAAAATACCAATAATCAGTCTCATCATACAAAGCTCAACTCCATACGAAGTCCCTATTATTTCCTCTGCATCCTATACAATTTTCTCAAACCAAATAAATACCTTAAGCTCTTAAGATCATTAACCATCTCGAATCCCAACTAAACAATTGAGGCTCCCAAACTCTGGTACAAACACACAACAACAACCAACCCTAAGTCACTTGTCAGATATTTCCTCTTGTACTTTTAATTGCGCATTTAACGTATCTCCTAATCATATCACCAAAGCATCACACAACACAACAAATAGTCCCGTCGGGTTCAACAAAACCAACACACAAGCTGTTGACAGCTTTTCCAAAATTCTTTGAACTTTCTTCATAGTGACAGAACACTACTTCCTCTCTAATACTGATAACTCAAACTCCCGATATGCAACATGATCCTCTATATTCTTCTAATACATTAAAACACTATTGGTTACACAACCCTTGGCTCACCAACTCAAGTGTGGAAAATTCCACTCCAAACAGACACGTAGTTGTAAATCTATGGCGAAAACACGAATCGCACTCATCACAACATCCAAACATATTACATCAATAATTACTCAATTCCATGCCACTACCTTCTCGTTACATAGAGAACTGTAATGACTTCCCACGATCCTAACCTTGCGTCATTCCAAATTACGGTCCTCTCGTTACTACAGGGTCGTAGAAACAACATTCTGCACTTAGAAGGCCATTCAATACATCTTCAGCTTCTCGAAATGGTTGAATATTTAACCATACCAATCTTGTGCCCCGTATCTTACTTCCTTTAGTAATCTCCAGAAGTCACCATCCATTCTTTATATACTTAACCTCGGAGTCTATTGTTGTAGCACCCACACCAAACGCGAGTCTCAACTACTTGATCAATTTAACTCATTGACCATCCAAACGCACATGCAACATGGGTTCTCAATCTAGGACCAGTTCCCGAAATTAAGTCTTTCATAACCCCACTTCACATCCTGACCCTGTAACACTTATTTTGTCAGGATAACTTCCAGACATCCATGACTAATCGGAAATTGCCAACTTTCCCACTTCCATTATAACTCGAAGATTTCCATCAAAATTCAAACACTTCAACACTGTTTTGAGTTGACCCGCCTAAACAATTCTCAAGCACCCAGCTGAACTCCAGACAATTCACTGCTCACGCCATCTAAGCTTGCAAGACACGTCCATCCTATCCAACACAATCCAAACTACTATCAACAAGAGATTAAGGGTGATCAGTTCCTCAATTTGTCAACAGACAGCCAAAAATCATGATGGAGTATAAACCATCATTACCAAACTGTATGGGCATTCAACCACACTGAGCTACAACTCCACACTTTGCAGCAACCTGGAGAAGCACAAGTTCTACCCCACTTGGGTCATTCCAACTTTTGCAGACGAAGACTAGACAACAAACACGTACCAACAGTGTTTCACACACATGTCGCGTACAAGCGAACAACCAATATTAGACAAGTTGGTCGGACGGACCGACCTGCTCTGATACCACTTAATGTAACACCCCCTTTCTATACCCCCAAATAACACAATTAAATCATTTAGGCACGAATTAAAAATTCCATCAGAGTATATTTATTTCATGGTATAAAAGAAGTGCGTCACATTACTCACGAAACGACCACATGAATATTAATGTTTATAAAGAAATAA